TTTTATATCATCAAAGGTTAAATGTTAAAGGTACTTATATGAGAAATTATGAGAATATTTCGATTAGGTAAAATTACGAAAGTACCCTTATGTTGGAAAATGACAAAAATTATCCCTGGAAGTGGATTAGTAAATCTGAAAAGACATATTGATCTGATAAATTTATTGATGTGCATAAGAAATGTTAGTTTTACTTGGAAATTATGGATAACCGGTTTTTAACCTCAATAGGGATTTTGCAAGATACTAGAAGTCTGTTAAGGAATCATTTCAAGATCAGAGAATGTTCGAGGAAACAACTAACCATAGGATCTTTAATTATAAGTATGCTCGTTAAGAGTTAATACCGAAATCATCTGGTTAAAAAATTACGAAAATGCCCTTGAAAGGTAAAAATAGCTCGAGTTGAACCTGAATGAGAAAGTTCTTGGAGGATTTGTACTTAACTCAATGAATTGCGTATTTAATTGTTAAGATCCTGTCTTTGTACATAAAATTTCTGATAACCTATTGGTAACATCTGAGAAGACAATCGATCTGAAAATCTTCGAGTTAAGAATAAATTATTGAGGGTGCTCTTTTGTAAGAATTATTTGAAAGGTATGGAATAAATGATAAGTTGGAATTAAATAATAAGACAGAATTGAAGGAAATAATTGAAATACACCGGATCTGTAAAATGATCAGAATACCCCTGTAATGAAAAAGACTCAAGAATATTACCAAGCTCAAGAATGATTGGATATCCTCGAGCTCTGAAAAGAATGGAATAAAATTGGGCACCAGAATGACCAAAATACCCTTATGACCTAAAATTAGTAGAAGTGTTGGATTAATTAAGGAATCCAAATAAACATGGATATGGTACTGCTCTTAAAAGTTATGGATCACATATTAAGCCGAGCAATCAATGCTAGTGTATATGTCAGTACCTGAAATGTATAAATGTTACTTGAATGCGTGTTCGTCTTCTCAAGTGTGGTTCAATGATAATTTTGAAAGTACTCAACTCAACTCAACTCTAGGTCGCATTCGATAATAAGAAATGAATATTTGTTAGACAAATCAACCACGAAGACCAAATTAAATTAAACGGAAGTACAATATATATATATATATATGAAATTCAGAAACGTCTGGATTATCGGGATAGACTTGACTGATAAACGAACTGAGTAACCTCAATGACTGAGGATTAAATAGGTGATTTGATGAGTTTGGGAACACTGTTGAACTTACATGATGAATTATCCTTATGGGTCATAAAACATGAATCAAGTATGTATGTATTTCCTGATATCGTTGAAATATGGAAATGAAATAAAGACTATTGGAAGATCTATTCAGCGATGATTACGAAGATGATTTATGGACAAGAATTTTGGTATTAAAGAGTAAATACTCTGAAAAGGCAGTAAATTGACGGGTCAAAATGCATTAGTTCAGAGAGCTTGTTCAGTTCGAATTGTTCGATAAACCGATCGATTAACATGGATTGTAAATGTCTTGAAGCTTCGTTTCTCCTTTATTAGCTCAAATCACTCTGGGCATTCTGGAACGCTTTCCTGATGCACATGAATCATAGTGGAATTCTAAAGTATCAAATTTAAATGTCTGATTAGATCGGTTAATAATCGATTCTCTCCAATAGGACCTTGTTCTTAGAATCCGATCAAATTGCACGAGCTTCATGTTATCCTTACCGATAATTACAAAATGCCTCTGAAAAATACTTGGATCCTCTAGTGTGTTCCCTAATTATTATTGAACTATTTTATTGGTTTTAATATGAGGTACACTAAGTTCTTTGGTTACTATTTTATTGATGCACCAATTTAATATGATGATTTATGAAATTTGTGTCAGGGTGCAATTGAACTTTTGGATTGAATTACAATAGTATAGCTCTGATCAAGCTAATAAACAGAATGGACCTAATGTGACTCTTGGGGCCCCAAGATACATTAGGTTGGCTTCCCTTGCTATGTGCTTAGGGTAAGCTATATGGACTTGGACTTACGGGCTTAAGGATACAAGCTCTAAAACTTATCCTTAGGTTGGCTTTCTTTTTGCTGTGTGCTTAGAGTAAGCTATATGGAAAATAGTTTTGGAAATTACTGATGGTGTACAAGAAAAGAGTTTAAACTATGATTTTCAAAAGTTAAACTCTTTTATGAATTTATGAGATTTACTAGACTATGATTTGTTTATTGTACCTATTATGATTTTATTGTATTGTTGGAACACACTAAACATCATATTCGATATCCTAAAAACGTGATACTATGAATGCTTCCTATGAACTAAGATATTCATGGATTCTATTCGATGAACTACCAGTGGAACCTCATATTATTCTGAAAATTTGTATACGTCTGATTCAATAAGAAAATTATGACTTTCCATTTATCTGCATGTCCTTTAGCATCATCAGGTTGTTCTGTATTACTGAGCTTTCTGAAGCTCACTCTATTACTCATCATTGCAGGTTAAAAGAATTGTATCAGTGCAGTTATCTATATCAATAAGGGAGTTCTTCCGGCGTTGCTTACAGAGTATGGTACATGTGATTAGGGGGCATGTAATTGTATTTTGTTTTATATACGAGTATGAAAACATGTTTTATTTCCGAACAATGATAAATCAATTTGTTAGTTACATGTTTTAATAAAAGTTTTAAATTTTCTGAGATTTTTATGGTGGGTCACTCCGGTGGCCCTAATGTGACACTCCAGATCAGATCAGGTTATCCGCATCGGTTTGAGGGGGTTACACATAATATAATTTTTTTAATTATATTATATACTTTTTTTTATCACAATAAATTATAATAATTATAAATAAAAGTTTTTATAATTTGAGGAGAAGATTTATTCTTCATTATTTTTTTCCAAGTTATTATGTGAAAGCATTTTAAGGTTACTTAAAAAATCGAGGGGACCAAATCTGGCCCCACCTGATCACTCTCAATCGCTACAATGTGAATACACCATATTTAATTGTTGGGTAAACTACAGAGTTGATACTTTTGTTTCATTTTTTAAAATGTATGGTCACTCGATTTAAAAACAATTAATTCTTAGTAACTTTAGTCTTGTTTTAATTAAGATATAGTTACTAAAACGTTAGATTCCGTTAGTTTGATGACGTGACATATTAGTAAAATGATTTAAATTTAATTTTAGACGCTGAACTTAGATAAAATACTAATAATGGACATTTTTGGAAACCCAAAATAATTTAGGGACAAAAATTTAGTTTACCCCTTTTTTAATATGTTTTCATCCCCAACCCCGTCTTCTTGCGCCGCACACCTCCCTCTTCTCTGCAGAAAGATGAAACACGTCAAGGAATGTAAATCCAAATATAGTCTTAAATAAGAAACATGCTTTGAAACTTATAACTCGAAAACAATCAGTGAAAAAATTACACAAACCATTCATTTAAGCTACCTTTTTTATCCAGTGAACAATCATTGTTCCAGTACGAGGACACTCCTCTAAGATTTCAACACTCCTGTATGGTGAAAGTGAAGAAGCCGCATTGCTCAAGTGTTTTAACAGTTTCTTTAGTAATTTCCCTCTACGACTTACAAACGGCAGAACAAGCAACCACATCTCTCCTTCCCGGCCAACATTTTTCCTTTGTTTCCACTTTTTGTAAAATATCGAGCAGTAATTCCGAGGGCAAATTTGCCCAGTGTCCTTGCTCGATTTCAGTTGATGAACCACCTAATAGTAATGGAGAATAAGAAGAAGAAGCTTCTGGCGCAATATGGGATCGTCCACTCATACTGTTATCTTTCCAATCCTCCTTGGACTATTCTTTGATATGTTTCCAATCTCTCGAATAAAGGCTTTTAACGCCATTTTTCTTGATTTTGGCTTAACAGAGCTGGAATTATTAACGATAAATCATGATAGGTGAAAAGAGTACAATAAGAGATGAAAAGCTTTTTATTGTTTTGATTCTTTGATTTCAAATTTTACTTGAAAGATTTGGATTCTTCCGCTGTTATCCAAACTAGCAAGAGAAACCTTTGAGCGAGGATCTTTAAAAGAAATTAAAATGCGAAGAGGAAGTGCGGCTGTAGAGAAGATGGGGTTGGGGAAGAAAACATATTAAAAAAGGGGTAAATTTAAATTGTATCCCTAAATTATTTTAAGTTTACAAAAAATCTATTATTAGTATTTTATTTAAAGTTTAAGGGTTAAAGTAGAAATTAAAATATTTTAATAACGTGCCACATCATCAATTAACGAAAGTTAATGTTTCAGTCAGTACATCTTAATTAAAACAAAACGAATGTAACTACGGATTAATTTTTTTGAATCTGGTGACCTTACATTAAAAAAATAAAACAAAAATGATCAACTCTGTAGTTTACCCTAAATTATTTTAGTATTTTTATAATCACCGAAACTCAGTTCTAATGGCAAGCATGTAATATAATGGAATATTTAAGGTCTAGTTGTTCGGCTTATTCATTGATTGATTTTTTACCGGCTTAATAAACTATTTTCCCCCTAAATTATAGCTGTTTTATCAAATTGTCCCCTAATTTTTTATGAATTCTTTGACCCCTAATTTTTAATTTTGTTATCGAATTATCTAAATTCGTTAAATTTGTTTTACAAAGTCAACATCCAATATAAACAAGACGCTAAAAAATAATTACATTCTAATTTGACTTGTTGAAAAGAGTAAACGATATTTTATCTCTTAGGATTTTTTTATATATTTGTATTCAAATATCAGATTCAGAGTTAGACGTTGTTCATAATATCACGTGTCACGTTTTTATAGGATGTCAAATGAAGTTAACGTCTTTAAGATAACTCCTTAACAAAATTAAACTTCAGGGAACCAAAGATTTAAAAGAAAAAATTTAAGGGCAATTTGGTAACATAAATTTAATATAAGGGACAAATGATTAATTAAGCCACTTTTTGGCAGCGGCAACTGTTTATAAAGTTGAATATCGATGAAGCTAGTTGAATAGTGCATGTTCGGTTCTGTTGTATTTCATTGCAAGAAAATCTGTCTGATTTTCCCTCTCCTCTCTCTCTCTCTCTCGAAACCGAACTGCCATGGCTCCCATGACTCTCCCTCCTGGTTTCAGGTTTCACCCAACTGACGAAGAGCTTGTCGCATACTATCTGGACAGGAAAATCAGTGGTCGTACGATCGATCTCGAGATCATCCCAGAAGTTGATCTTTACAAATGCGAGACTTGGGATTTACCAGGTATCACTTATAATCATATATATTCATTCATTAATGACAGGATGAATCTAACTCTTAACTTTTAACAATGGTTTTGATGATGAAATTTAAACAAACAGATAAGTCATTTTTGCCGAGCAAAGACATGGAGTGGTTCTTCTACAGCCCAAGGAACAAGAAATACCCTAACGGGTCGAGAACCAACAGGGCAACGCGCGGCGGGTATTGGAAAGCGACGGGGAAGGATAGGGCGGTGCAGATGTCGGGGTCTCAGAAGAGGGCGGCGGTGGTTGGTATGAAAAAGACTTTGGTTTATTACAGAGGTAGGGCTCCCCACGGCATCAGAACCAATTGGGTCATGCATGAATATCGCTTACTCCACTCCGCTTCTCCCACTGTTCCTTCCAGTTTAAAGGTACACTGCTAACTGCTGCATTCTCCCATCTAAGTCTTTTACTTGTATATTTTTCTCGTCCGATATATATATATATATATATTATGGTTTCACGTAGGCATGAAAACAATGAAGTTCTTCGTACAATATTATTATGGGTATTGTTCATTAGGGTTTTTACTTTTTAGTTCATTGGTTATAACTAGATCTAAACTTCTGAACCTGTCAGGTATATTATTCCAAAGATAACTAGGGTTTATAGAAAACAATAATATGATGCATGATTTCCTTTTATGCTAAATTATTATGGATTTCTCTATGCATTTTGTTGCTAAACACTATTTAAACAAGCTTAAAATAATCCCTAACTTTTAGTTTATTGAGTTTCTTATAATAAAAAATTTAAACATCAAACATCCACTATAACCTCGTCTAAATGATATATATATATATATATATATATAGTGAATAGTAATAAAAAGTAGAGCATATATATGAATCAGAAAAATGATTTTGTGAAAGAGTCTTTGGTTTTAATCTTCCATGCTTTAATAGGTGTATAGCCGGTGATCTTCCTTTCTTTTAATCTATTACTTTTTATTTTTTTCCTTTCTAATATTCTTTTAAAGAATTTGCATTTCATTCTTTAATTTTCTAAATATCCATATCTAATTGATTGAAGAACAAAAAAAAAATACAAAAGGATTGACGTTGATAGTTAACCTTGGAAATCGAGCAGGATTCATATTCTTTATGCCGCGTCTTCAAGAAGAACATACAAATTCTCAAAACAAAAGTAGCAACCGCAACTATTGAGAACAACCAGTCATTTGGTGATGAAATTTCAAGAGGGAGAGAGTTCGAAGTTGATGTTGAAGACGAGAATTTCAATGCTTCTTCCTCGGATGTCACTCAAGGAACTCCCAACGAACCTGGCATGGTTGATGAATACCAAGCTCCATTCATCTCGAACGAAGCTAATAGTTCAACTGATTTGAGTTCTATCGATCTCGATTTCTCCTCCGACCTAATTCAGGTACGATATGATATAAATATAATAAGAACTAACGTATTATTGTTATTTTGATTAAAAGAAAAGAAAAATAGGAGTAGAAACATCATGTGTATGATGTGAAATTTGCATGCCTAGGGGGATTTTACAGTGGTTCATTCCATGATTCTTAATAATAATAATAATAATAAATATGCTTTAGACATCATTTTATGTTGAAGACATGATTATCTACTTTGCCAACACTGTTTTTTTACAGCAATATTCTGCTTTATTGGCTTGCTTTGATCACCAAAGGCTTCAAAATCATCCCCATTCCAACACTTGAAAGTAGAATCAGCTGATGAAATGTGGGTTGGAAAATTGGCCCACCAAACACCCACTTTGAGTTGGCTTTTCCATCTTAAATTAAACAAAAAGTTGGGACCAAATAAAACTCTTCACTCTCTTTTCCTAAAGCTCTATCAGTGCTCATTTTCATAGCTTTCTCTCACCATCTTCCATACCTTCTTTTGACCGACTTAAACATCTTTCTATTAGTCAGAATTTGCACAATATTTTTCCATTCAAAAACCGCTTTCTTTTTCACCTTATCAACACCCCTACTTGGGGACCTTTCAAACTCTTCACTTCATAAAAATACTCAAAAACATCTACTTTCTTTACCTCCTTCACTTGTACCTAGATAATCTAACGTGCTTGTTTTAATATGAAGGAAATGCAGGTTCCGGGCTACACAAATCTTCGTTACCATGTTCCATATCCACCATTGAAGCTAGAAGATTTCCCACAGATAAATATTATATCAGAGACGAAGGTCGAGATAATCGATGAGTACATGATGTATGATAAGTAAAGGACTACGTGAACGGGTCATTAGAAGAGATTTTCTCACTGTGTGCCTCTCATGACAATTCCATGCATGATTGAAAACGCACTAACAAAAAACATCACTTTTGACAACATCAATATACTTATGTCTCTTCTTCTTCTTCTTTTTTAACTTATTTTGGAATACTATAATTCTTTTTTTCTTTATAACACATAAGGTAAAAGGCAGTGTTAGGGCAAATGATCAAGAATAGAAGATTATTTTACTAGGCGCAAGATGATAAGGTTATTTATTATTGGTTTCCTTTTTTATCATTTTCTTCATATTGTGATTGAAAAGTTATTGGGTCAAATTTTGAAACGGAAATTGATAAGTCGTTTAGTATTTGTGTATTAACGAGGTATAAGATCATGAAATTATATTCTTTTATATTCTGGACAATTACAAAGAAATATATATTAAGAATATTTTTAATCAATTAATAACGCATACACTCTGTAGACCAGTTGTTCGAACTCAAAATCTCTATGTAGAATAACATTTTCTTTTATTATTAATTTTTTCATCCCAGTCATCATTTTTTCTTCAGAAAAAGTTCTAAAAGAAAATCAAATTTATAAAAAAAAATAAAGGATAAAAACTCAAACAAGTTTATGAATACCCTGAAAAATCCCACTTTCTACATTTCCATCTAAAAATCAAAATAAAGCATTCAAATAGAACCCAAAAGAATAAAATGAATGATGCAGTAGAGCTTACGTCAACTAAGAATCGTAATGCACCCCCCAAAAGAAAAGAACAAGGCTAACTGGAAGGCTCCTTGAAGAGCTTTCCGCAAAACTACCCAATAAAAACCAGTAGATCCACTCCCAACTGTGACTATCGCTACGATTACATGTTTGTCTATCTGGATCGAATATTATAAAAATTTATTATAAGAATAATATTCTCAACTTAACTTGTTTTATCGAAAACATCAAATTTCAAATCATTATCCTTGTTTAAGGAATTTACATGTAGGTTTTTGTCCTAGGTTCTTGTCCAGATTGCTTTGGTTCATCTAGGTCTATGCTAACCATATTTTTTATTTGGATGTGCTCCAATGTTTACTTCTAATTATGTATATGTTCGTTTTTCCTCCAACTGGACCTTATTATGTTAATTCTGATTATAGTTCTTGAAAATTATGATTTTGATTGCTTTTATTATTTAAAATATGCATATATAATAAGAAAAATAAATAAAAAACAATTATTGAAATTTTATATATTTTATAGTAAATTAGTTTTAATTTTAATAAATAATTAAATATAATAAAACTACATTTGTATACAACTTATAATAAAATTTAATAAAAATAAGGAAGGATTAAAGGGAGATTTTTCTCCCTCTCCAATGGGCATCCGAGGGGCCAATACCCAAAATTTCAAGTGCATCCTCGTGGGAGAAGATCCGTCCCTCCCATAGAACATCCCAAATTTGGGCAAAATCTTCAGCTGGATTGGATTCTACTATCTTATCTGTTCTCTAATTATGGACCAGGGTTACCTTAATCATAGATTTCGGCTAAGTTTTCAATTGAATTTGTTCTATGTGTGCATCATCTTTATTTTGGTATTGTCTTAAAGGATTCATACTTGTTTGAATAATTGTGTCTGTAGAGTATGTATATGCTGTCAATAATCAAGAAAAATTATGAACAGATACTATCTTATAATTACTCATACTATTATTTTTTAAAAAAAGATTTGAATTCATTGAGTGGTCTCAGTGGTTAAAGGAAATGTTGTTATCCCTTGATATTTTAGGTTTAAGCAATTGCGTTTGCAGAATGTATATGCATCGTTAATGATTATGAAAGATTATAAATAAATATTATCTTATGATCCTTCCAAACCATTAAAAAATTAAAATTTATTGTGGAGTTTCTTCAATGATTTACAAGTGTCAAATCAAGTAAAAACTAATTATGTCAGATATTAAACACTTAAACATATTCAATTATACGCCTTTCTATATAATATATTAAAAATGATGCCAACTGAGTTAAATTTACTCGACTCTAATGATAAACTCTTTTGAATTTTAATGTTTTATTATAAAATAATAAAATCTGCACAATTAATTATCATATTTATATATAAGTTTAGAGAGAACTATTTTATATAAGATCGAATAAGTTTTAATTTATTTTTTATATTTTAATGAAATGTGTACTGTTTAGTGTTTATGTTTTTCGAAATTTATATTTAAAAGTTTAAATTTATAATTTATAATTTTTTTTATTAGTATGAGGTGAATACCAGATAATATTTGTTTAAATATTCTTAATCATTTAACATTTAATACTCGTACACCTTTACATATGTGTTATTTGAATTCGAGATCTTAAAAAATAATAATAACTTTTTAATTATTTATATCATTTAATTCATAAAAAGAATTATAATTTTAAATAGATACTAATGTATAAGCTTTAGTTTATATAAATCGTGTATCAAAAAGTTATATCATACGTAAATCTTTATTTAAAGCTACTAGGGGAGTGACGCTAAAGAACAATACGTAATGAAACAAATAATGCATGACATGTTTATTGAGAAGGGCAAAAGAAAAGATAGAGAAAAATATTATATTCTCAATGTATGTGGATACCAATGTAGGTTAAGAAGAAAATCATTTCAAGCACGTCTTGATATTTACATTTTAGAGGTATATTTGTTCAATACCTACCACGAAACTTATCACGTAACGGAATAATTTATTTAATTTTTTTATTAAACTAAAGTGTTTATAAAGTAATATATATTCTACATATTTTTATTATTATTTGACAATAAACATTCAATCACTATTAAAGTTGCAGGTGTTCGAACACATAACTTCTAAGAACACAATTCCTTTAACCAAAAAAGTAAGTTTATCACAACCATAAATAGTAATAAATTAAAAATTTTAAGTTAATTTAATTTAAATTAGGGACCAAATTGTAAGTTTTTAGAACTTACAACTCGTTTTAGAAAGTTGCATGAAGTTTAGGGACTTAACCCTGAATTTCTCTTTTTTGTCGATAGAGAAAAAATAAAATATGAAGTTGGTGGCTACAAGGGTATATCTGTTCAATACCTACCACGAAACTTATCATGGAACAGAATAATTTATTTAATTTTTTTTATTAAGATGAGGTGTTTATAAAGTAATATATATTCTAAATATTTTTTTATTATTTGATAATAAACGTTCAATCACCATTACAGTCGCACGTGTTTGAACACTTAACTTCTAAGAATACGATTCTTTTAACCAATAAAGTAAGTTTATCACAACCATAAATAATAATAAAATAAAAATTTTAAGTTAATTTAATTTAAATTAGGGACAAAATTGTAAGGTTTCAGAACATACAACCCGTTTTAGAAAATTGTATGAAGCTCGTGGATTTAACCCTGAATTTCTCTTTTTTTTGTCGACAGAGAAAAAATAAAATATAAAGTTGGTGGCTACAAGGGTTCAAACTTGTGTCCTACTGGTATAGTCGCTCATGCCCCTACCAATATGTTAGGCCACTATTAATGTTTTATTTGTTTTAAACTTAGGTTATAACCCAAACTACTCACTATTTCTAGAAAACAAAAAACCCTAAATCAAACCCCCAATCCCTAAGTGCCGCCATTTCCTTTCGTCGATTATGTCATTGTTCGGGCACTGTTCAGCCTGCCACTGCCATTGTCGTAGATCGGCGAGTAAAACCCCCTATCCCCTCGTCGAGTGGTCGTGTCATTCGTCGAAATTGAACGATTGAAGCTTCGTTGTCCCCAACTAACGTCGCCTCTGTTATTTGCAAAATCTGGCAGCCACCGTCGTCCATTTGCCTCACCGCCAGAACAGCTGGGTTTGCCATCCTCGTACCTCTGAAACCCAACCTTTAGGCCATATCGTGGTCGTCATTTTCGTCGTCGCCAGAGTGGGTAAGCTTGGGTTACTTTTTCGGTTAATTTCCTCTCGGGGTTTTTACTTGATTTTTTATAGGGATCAAGTTGGTTGGAGAATAGGTTGCAACCAGAGTAATCAACCGTCCAAAATGACCCCCGTCGTTGATGCACGCGACAGTAGTGCGCGTGGGGTTCCTCCGCCTATCTTGGAGCATTCTAGAACTGGTCCAGTCATACCGAACTGGGTCAAGCTGAGTCAACTCGAACAAAATCAACCCATTGTCTGACCATTGACTTGATTGTTGATCTGATCGTTGATTTTGACCACAATTTATCGTTGACTTTAACTTTGACCAAATAGTCAAATTTTCCAAAAAGTCATATTTTATGTTTTTCAATGTCTTGGGTCCGAATCCTAACTCTGTTTTGTCAAATTCGAACCTGAAAGCCTCCAAATTGATCGTCAAACCCGAGCATGCATATGTACTTAAGTGTTTTATTTACAAATGATTAAATTAAGGTTAGAGATTGATCATGTATTGTTATTTGAAGGTACATGAGACTCTCCCGATCGTTCGACAGCTCGACCTAGCTCCTCTCGATCTATTCTACCTCGTGAGCCAGTAGTCACTTATATGACCCGTAAACCTTATGATTACATAGATTAAAAATGTTACTCCAATAGTAACCCAGTTTTATTATGAATTAGGTTCGAGCACTGCTGCAGAGTGTGGTGAAGCATGTGCTTAGTAGACACCCTGACCGACCCCATTTTGTGAGGTGTGTTCCTTATGTGCCATATAACTGTTTTACCTGTTTTAAAATGTGATTTTCCGAAATTACTGATTTACTGGCTTACTGTTTATGAACTATGATTATTTGATATACATTATCTGGTTACTCGTTTACACTGGAAATACGATTATGTCGATTACATATTCATGGAAATTATTTTTTATTGCGTGAACTATTTTATTGAGATATTGTTTTGGGTAGGATACTAGAGTATGGAGGTTCAGCTCTGATTAAGTTGGTAATACCTTACGGACCTAAGGCGACCCTTAGGTAGGTTCTGAGGCTCTGATAGCTTTCTTGGGTGGGCTCTCATGCCCCAAGGTATTCCCTTAGGATGACTCCTATACCCAATAGGTATAAGGTAAGCCCTTAAGGATGCAGTTTTGGGGGAAATGCATTTTGGTGTACGGGAG